TAATGTTTTGTGTTTTAGTCATCCTTCACGTTTTAGTTTTAAATAAGTTCCCTTGTCCTCCCTCCAAATGATCAATAAATGCAATCCCTAATCTCGAGTAAGCCGCGAGTAATCGGCCCCCGTTCTACTAACATTAGTTGTAAGAAATGATATTAATGTAAAAAATATTCGGCTCCGCAAAGCTAACGCATTTGAGCCTTGACAAATAAATGGATCATAAAAAAAATCCTCGTTTGGCGATGTACCTCTCCAGTCACAACATCAGCGTACGTGCTGGTCTCTTCCTCATTCTGTTGTAGGTTTTATTCTTCCGTTCTTCTTCACTTGGGACAGCAATTCATCCGATGCCCCTCCGTCTTACAAAGAAAACACACATTTTTGTTCCCTTGATAGAATATGTTCCCCAAATCGAGGAAATGCAGCGAGTTGGGAATCTCTTTGTTTACATCCATATATAGACCCCGCACACCTGTAAGCATATTGAGGCTCATGGTGGCAGGAAATTTTTCCCAAACTCCACCGCTTCACATCACCATATTGCCTTAGCACCAATGCAAGATCGTCATCCGGGACTTCTGGTGCGAGGTTGTACCCCAGCAGGCGCCATGCGTACCTTGACTGACTTCACATCGACATAATGAAACATATTTTCAAACAATGAAGCATTGAATCTTTTTGGTAAAAATAGATTTTCCCTCCGCTATGCATTATGAAGCAATCATCTGAGTGGGAACCGCTTCCAGCGATTTCACAAAATTCGCAAATTCTTCCATATATGGTTTCGCACTGGTATGCGTGAAGGTGAATCTAATCGTTCGCTTTATTTCCACCGACACCTCCACTAGTTGTTTGCTTCCAACTTGAACGGCAAAAGTGATCGAACTTCAAAGCATGAGCAAGCACCGCAACACTGAGTTGCTATCGAAAACCAAACTATCGTGTGACTAGCACCGAAAAACATCTGCTTGCTAAGAGCAGACTGGAGTAAATATTTTTAAATGAGAAAATGCAAATTTGTGAAATCTTGAAAACTTTGGACACTTGAAAATTGTCAAAAATTGTAGAACAACAAATTTTGTTAAAATTAATGTACGTTTTGTTAGTGTTATCGTACATAATGTGCATAATATTAATATTTACATCCATTCTTCTCAGAAACAAAGGAAGCGTTCTTAGCGAATCCTTTTTCTGCCTTCATCCGTATGCCGAAGTGAATCCAATTGAAACACCATTGTTTGTCATTGTCATGTGTTTGGACGAAATTGAAACTCGAATGACGGAATTGGTATCACAAATCAGTGCACAGTGGTCCAGAATGCAGGTTTAGTTGAAAGATAAGTGTTTAGCCTGAAATTGAAACTTTGGGCTAAAAGTCTCTTCTACAAAGTTGTTCCTTATAGTTAGGCCCTCATTTTTATTAAAATGAATTCAAGAGTGGTTCTTATTATCATTGAAATCAAAAATCTAACTTTTTGGTTTGAAGAAATTAAGGTATACATTCTTGGGCAAAGTTAAAGTTGTGCTAATTTCAAGCCACTTTGTAAAACAAAATTTGTATCTCTTAAATTGACCGATAAAGAGCTATTTTCTTGAATTGAGTTAGGATGCCTCTAAAAAAACAGTTGGTTTGCTATAGTTTTCTTATTTCGAATTTCTTCTCAAAGGTGTCTTGCAATAACTTTTAGATCTTTTAAAGGCGCAAATTTTTGCAACATAGAGCTTGTCGATATCTTTCGCCGATCAAGAGTTATTGACATTTTTCTACAAAAAATAAGCCTTTTTTAAAGGTTTATATCTCTGGTTGATGCAAAAAAAAATTGCATTTGAAAGAGCGTATGTTGTTCTCAAAAATATGAAAAAAATGGAGATATATTATTTTTTAAATTCATATAAAATCAATTTGAATTCATTCATTTCTTTTTACTACAATTGATATAGCTTTTTATTTATTAGAAGAGATACAGACAAACATTTTTCATATAAAACATTCAAAGCTCTTTATTTAAAGTCGCTGAACAAATTTGAATTAAAAAAGCTAGTGCTAAAAACTATTTTTTCCAGGAACACCCTAAGTCAAATCCGAAAAAGTACTCTAAAACGAAAACGGTAAGAGATAGAAAAAAATCACCTTCGACAAAATTGCTAAAATTTAACTCAGCTACAACTTTTTTTTCACAACACATATCTTTATTTTGTAAAACAAAAAAGTTAGAGGATAACCCTGACGTTTGCAAACACCAAAAGAAGGGATTTTTTAAACAAAAAAACTTCTCCGAAGACACAAATATTGAAACAAATGTACCAGCAGATTTAATTTAAATTTGTCATTAGAGTGTATCTATGGAAACAATATTTTGCCAATAACTTTTTGATTAAAATTTCTCATGAAAGTCATCTTCAAGAGACTTTTAAAATTTTTTAAGATGAATTTTTTATAGCAAAAGTTGTTGTCTGTATCTCTTCTAATAAAAAAAGATGTACCCAATTATAGTTAAAAATATGAATTCCTTTAAATTGATTATATACGAGTTTACAAAATAATATTTCTTTTTTTGTATAATTGAGAATATCATACGCCCTTGCATATGCCGTATAAAAATCTCTTATTTTTTGTTTGCCCCAACAAGAGATATTAACATTTGAAAAGGGCATATTTTTAGTAAAAAAAAACTTCAATAACTTCGACAAGCTCTGTGCAGCAAAAATTTGCGCCTTCAAAAGATCTAAAAGTTATTGCAAGACACCTTTGCTGAGAAATTTGAAATAAAAAAAATTGTTTTTAGAGACACTCTAAATTGATTTAGGAAAATTACCCTAAATCAGTCAATTCATGAGATACAAAAAAGCTGTTTAACAAGGTTGCTTGAAATTAGAACAGCTATAACTTTGCCGAAGAATGTGTACATTAATTCCTACAAAAAAAGTTAAACTTTTGATTTCAATGATAATAAGAACCACCCTAGAATTCATTGTCATAAAAATGAGAGCCTAATTATAAGCAACAACTTTGTAGAATACACTTTTTATCTCATTATTAATTTCAATTTTAGGTTAAAAACTTATCCTTTCAGCTAAATATGCATTCTGGACCACTGTGCAGTGTATGAATTGTAACAGTATGTCTACAATTTGTGGCTTGGTATCAAATCCAACGGTACGTATGGAAAGATAAATAAAATTAGAAGTCATCTTTGATAGAAATATATTTTTTTTAAACACTTTCTTTTTGAAAAAGAAAGGTAAAGCGCAGGTTGTGCTTTGTATCACGGAAATGAGATCTTAACCCTATGACGAATTGGTTGAAAGATAGGAAGAAGTTTTCTTTTCCTATCGTAATGTCTATGTAGATTTCAAATGGTTTGTTTACAGTCAGTTTTTAACTAAATGAGTTCAAATTTTGGAAGGGTGATCAGGACCCGATTTGAAACCATTTGATCACTGTGGAGCGAAAATTTCTAATTTTGCTTTACTATACTATACAGTAGGGTGTCCCAAAATTGCACTTTGTCTGGAAATCTGAAGGCTCACCCTTCAAATGATAGCTAAGGGTGTTACAAACAAACTTTTGTATGGCGGCAACTCTGGGAAATGTTGTTTAGAGGTCGCCCCGACGAGATTTTTGAAAAAAGTCCATTTTTCGTAGCTATTATCCAATAATTATTTTTAGTTCTTTAAATTTCAGTTAAATCTCACACTTTTATATTTTTCGCAGATTTCCAAGGGTCAAAATTATAAGAGAAAAAATTGCTACGGCATATTCTGTGTCCAATTTGTTAGTTACAATTTTTCAAATTCTCTAAAATGATGTTTTTTGTTGTACATCACTGCATTCAATCATCAAAAGTGGGTATCAAATATAGCGCTATTAGTATACACGCTGTACGATAAAAGATCGTGTCAGCAATGGTAGGTGGATTGAATATTTAGGTTTATAAGATCCATTTTTCTATGCAAAATCCATTATTCAAATAGTACATTGAGCAGCGTATTCAAAATCATATCATTTAAATTTCTGATCAATTCTTGAGAACCGCTTTAGGAATTAGAATGTTGGCAACCCTCAACAATACCACGCATTCTTCTTTAGCTTAAAACCGTTGGATCCAACTCAATCAGATTGAACGGATCCGTTCCGTTGAATAAACGAGTCCATTCTCTACACAATCGTCGTCTGCCAATCGAAAAACCAAGAATGATTTATTTAGATATGCTCACCAGGAAGAGCCAAAGGTTATGCGAAGGTTCGATAGGTAGAATACTATTTTCATCGAATTTTATCATCCCTGTTCCCTTGATCCGTTGCTGTTCTTCATCCAATTCACGCATGATTGGCTTTTGCACGTTTCCACTTTCGGACACATGAGTCTCATCGGTCTTTTGAACTCAGGAGGGGATAAAAATGTGGAAAGAATTTTCCACATACCCATATGGCCCGATATATAAGAAACGATTCCCGTGTGAGTGAAGAAAATTCAATAAACTGAATACGCTCAATGTCAAGTGCCACATCTTCTGGAAAATTAACTTGAACATTGTTGCTTCGAGTTAGAATGTGATAGCTTAGCTCCAGTCTGCGTTTGAAAGGACATAAAATCGATATCTAGTCTGGAGGCAGTGAATCATTCCCAGCATGGACCTGAAGGGAATTGTCGAAGGATGAACATTGATGGTGGGCGGTTCAATTGGATGGTGAATGGGTCTGTTGCTGTTAGGATTTATTTGCTGTCGGCTGTTGGTAATTATCGAGCAGGAAAAAGCACTTTGCCTGTTCACAAGTAGTTGCATGATAAATGTGTATGCTTTAAAACAAGTGGATTCAACTTTTTTTTGTAAGTTCCAACGTTCTAGAATCTAGATGCTTTTGTCTTGTGTTTGTTTGTTGCTTGCACTTGAATAATTCACATCATGAATTTTGTTATGATTTCACGTTTCTTAAAGCAATTAAGTTGTTGTCTATCGCGATTCTTATATTTGTCATTTTCGTCCACTGCTTCTTACAGAAAACGGCTTGCTAAGCTACGAGAATCCCAACTATCACATGGATCCACTCCGAATGGAACGTAACTCGCACCTGTACGAGGAGATCATCTCCGAACTGCAGCAGCAGGGCACACTTCGGCCAGCTGGCAGTGTAAATCTGGTACGGGATCCGAGTCTGCTCGGTAGCAATCGAAAGGGATATCTGAACATTGCATCGATGGGAGTTGACGGCAAAGAAGTTGACAGGTAGGTTCATCGGTGTGTATCTAAAGAGAGGCAATGTCACTTATTTTCATTCTAGCTCCCTTAAGGACAAGCAGAAACTACTGGATGGCTCACCAAATGAATCGGAAACGCAAAAAGATGAAGTCTCGGAGAAAGGTGAAAAGACTCAAGCGCAAGAGATCAAACACATCGCTGGGACACTGAACTCGAACGATTTGTATGCGATACCGAACAAGAAGAAGAAGCCACGGGTCGGAGAAGTGCCCCCCGAGGACGAAGATGAGGATGAAGAGGAAAAAGGCAAACAGGAAGACATTGAAGCCATTGAAGATAAGGACAAAACCAACGATCTACCGCCGGGATGGGAGAAACATGAAGGTAGGAACTTGTTTTATTTATTAAAGCAAACAACTGACTCGCTTTAAAAATTACTTCTATAGACAACGGCGGTCCCTACTATTGGCACATCAAATCGGGAACAATCCAACGGGAGCCACCAGTATGGCCAAAAGATCCACCAAAAGAGCTTAAGACGCCGGTCGTACCAACGCCTCGCTGTATACAGAATTCAATGTTTTCACAAACGTTAGCCAGTCTGTATGGAACGCCGAAGCCGGAGACCAGTTCATCCTCGTCCAGCAGTGGCCGATTGCATGAAAGTATTACGTCCGTTACCCGTAGCAGTACCAGTTCGGCGCTAGATCAAGAGGACGAGCGTCGACGAAGGGAAGACATTGCGTTGAAGTAGGAACGACCATCTTGACTATAATGCCGACGGAGCTAACGAGTGAATTTCTCTTCCAGACGAAGAAGTTTCCCACTGAAATCGGACACCGAACGACCAATTCGGTTTGCGGTACGTTCTCTGGGTTGGGTAGAGATTGCCGAGGAGGACCTTACGCCGGAGCGATCCTCAAAGGCGGTGAACAAGTGCATCGTAGATCTTTCATTGGGTAGAAATGAAATGTTGGACGTTGTGGGACGATGGGGTGATGTAAGCTCTTCGAATGATATATGTTCGGGTTTGAGTTTTATTCTTCCCATCTTGTTTTTCCAGGGCAAAGACTTATTTATGGATTTAGACGAAGGTGCTTTAAAACTAACAGATCCAGAGACGCTGACAATACTAAACTCGCAGCCGATTCATACGATACGGGTGTGGGGCGTTGGTCGGGATAACGGAAGGTGAGTAGAATGGGTATGGTAGCCATTAGGATCCGTTGTATTCATTGATCACGTTTTACACTTTTTTTTTATTCGGAGGATTCAAATCTGACTTCGTTTGTGAATATCATTTCTCGATAATTTATCGTACTTTTTCAATGCTCCTCAAATAACTATAACTCGTTAGTTGCCCTCTACGTAAAACAAATGAGATATACATGATAAATAAGCATGCATTTTATTCATCCTTGGTAAGAAGCAAAATTTTTCCCTTGCCTTTTTTGCAATATAAAGTTGGTACGGCTGATAAAAAGCTAGGAAACTCTATATTAAAATTATATTGCAAAAAATGCAATTAACGTGCCTGGTGGTTACTTGGGCTGTTAATTTATAAAATAAGCAAAGATTAATTTACACAATTAATTGAACAGTCTTGTGACGGTCACAGAAATTATGTCAGTTCCATATGAATGTACATTAATTAGTCAATAGTCTGATAGTCAAATAGTCTGCTGACGGTGATTCACTGGGCTGGGACCTGACCTATTTGCTGGCATGCCGGAACGGGCTTGGATCGGACACATGGAAAGCAGTTTCGGATGATGTTGCGCACCAGTCGTCGTCCATTGATTGGCCATTATTCCTCTCGCATGACTGACAGCGTCATGTGGTCGCCACCGTGAACTAGTTTTTAGTGGATGGATTTAGCTATTAGCTTAGCAAGAGGATGAAAACTGGGAAGCAGTCCAAGTAACAATTTTGGTTTTATGAGGGTTCTATAGACCATGTTACTTGGGAGGCTGGGTGCTTGGATAGGTATGGCTGTTCTGATAGTTTTACCGACACCCCACTCTGAGAACCCCCAATGTGTCAATGAATGGACTCAAAAGCCAAATTTAGGGCTAGGAAAGTCACATCCCCAGAATAAGTTACCTTGTGGGAGAGGATTTTGGTAGTAACTGACTCAGTTTTTATTCCTTGATTTTTTTTCCGTCGATCTTGTTGGGATGACCTCAAACTGGAACGAGAGGCCACTTGGGACCCCTCGTCGAAACCTTTACTGTAGCTTGAAAGCTGACCCGGATGAAGAACAGAATGGTGCTGTTACACACTCGACACGTAAAATAGGAAGGACAATCACGTGCAATGTGATCCTGGCGAAAGCAATTCAGGCACAATCGCTTGAAATTTACATCTTCTCGAGCTTCTGGCAGTTTACCAATGGAGATTAAAAGCGGAACTTTCTGTGGTGAAATACGAAGATATCTTGATGGGCATTGGCTTTCGTTGGTAGTTCAACAGGGTGTCCATCCATCCAGGAAAACCGGGAAATCCGGGAAAAAACCGGGAATTCGGATTTATCGGGAAAAAACCGGGAAAAATGCGGGAAAACCCAAATTGCACCGGGAAAGGTCATATATACTCATCCCAAGTAACAATTTTGATTTTACATTATTAGTCATAATTTGGTCTTGAAGAAGCCTTTAAACCTTTAAACTTATAATGTTCCTTGAAATCAATCAACATTATAACACAAACATCATTATATTCTCTTGCTTACAACTTTCATATTATTTTTTTCTCTCACTGACAATTTTTCCATGCCCGGATCAAGCGGTGATTTTGTCGTTGTTCCTGCTACGATAGCTAAATTTATAGAATTTATTATGGTGTCATATGGTGTCATTGCTTGAATTCTTTAGCTACAATTTTTCTAGTGAAGTAGTTCTAGTATAAAGGCTGAGCGAGACATATCCTGTTACGAAGCTACTTCAAGGTAGATAAGCAGATTCATGCCGTCTCAAACTCCTTGCAAACTCCGATCATGCTATGCAAATGTTTGACGCCGAAAATAGAGATAAATTAAACATTAATTTCTGCACTTTGTGCTAACCAGATACCAAGGTTAGGGCATCTTTGAATATCGAGGTTAGTCTGTAAAACATAAAGATCGGAATCTATACTTCTCACTTCAAAATCATGAGTTCAAATCTCACCGGGATAAAGCCCGAATGAAAGATTCTGTTAAGATTATTTCAAAAATCATCATTGGAATTTCCTTGCATTTCTCTTCTCAATTTCAATCCCCAATTGCGAATAACATGATTTGACCTTACTACATATTACATACTGTATTCTTTAGGGTCAACAGTTAAGCCAAATAATAATCTATGCTTCAAGTAAGGATTTGGGTTTTATCATGCGATAAAACTTGTGACGGTACTTGGGATTTTTTTTTTTTTTTTTTTTTTTAACTCTTTATTTGTTCCAAATTCAAAATAATTTACATTTCATTTTAACCTAGGTGCTCCAGTTACTGCAGTAACGTACCAGCCTTAATTGTTATGATATATATCTAAGTGTTTTTACATTGTTCATGTCTTGGCAATTCAGTATTTTAAACAGGTTTTTTAACCTGCATGTCAGTATAACAATTGATATATTAAAACTAAAAACTAAAACTAAATCTTATCTAAGTATAAAGGGAATTAATCGTTGCAATTGAGGATTGCAACGATTTTTGCCGGAAATTATTAATTATTTTGTTGGACATTTGTGCTAAAGTCTCAACATTCGAAATTCTATGTACTTCGGTAGTACTGTACCAGGGAGAAAACTTCAAAATCATTTTCAGAATTTTGTTCTGAATCCTTTGAAGTGCTTTTTTCCTGGTAGTGCAGCAACTAGACCATATTGGCACAGCGTAAAGCATGGCCGGTCTAAAAACTTGTTTAAATATTAGAAGTTTATTCGTCAGGCAAAGTTTGGATTTCCTGTTTATAAGAGGATACAAACATTTAATATATTTGTTACATTTGGCTTGAATGCCCTCAATGTGATCTTTAAAAGTTAATTTTTGGTCAAGTATTAATCCAAGATATTTCACTTGGTTTGACCAGGAAATTGGAACTCCGTTCATAGTGACTATGTGACTACTACTAGGTTTCAAAAACGAAGCTCTAGGCTTATGTGGAAATATTATAAGTTGAGTTTTGGAAGCGTTGGGAGAAATCTTCCATTTTTGTAAATAAGAAGAGAAAATATCTAAACTTTTCTGCAGTCAAAAACAAATAACAAATAACACGAAGACTTCTTCCTTTAGCGGAAATGCCTGTGTCATCAGCGAACAAAGATTTGTGGCAACCCTGAGGCAAATCAGGGAGGTCCGAAGTGAAAATGTTATACAATATAGGCCCAAGAATGCTACCCTGAGGAACACCTGCCCTAACAGGTAGTCGATTAGATTTGGAATTTTGATAATTTACTTGAAGAGTTCTGTCAGTTAAATAATTTTGAACTAATTTCATAATGTAAAGTGGAAAATTAAACTTTTTCAATTTAGCAATCAAACCTTCATGCCAAACACTGTCGAATGCTTTTTCTATGTCTAGAAGAGCAACTCCAGTTGAGTGGCCTTCAGATTTGTTTGAACGAATTAAATTGGTAACTCTTAAGAGTTGATGAGTAGTTGAATGCCCATGGCGAAATCCAAACTGCTCATCTGCAAAAATTGAGTTCGTATTGATGTGAAGCATCATTCTATTCAAAATTATCTTTTCAAAAAGTTTACTTATTGAAGAAAGCAAACTTATTGGACGGTAGCTAGAAGCTTCAGCTGGATTTTTATCCGGCTTCAAAATTGGAACAACTTTTGCATTTTTCCATTTATCAGGAAAGTATGCCAAATGGAAACATCTGTTAAATAATTTTACCAAGAAAGACAAGGTACTCTCTGGGAGTTTTTTGATGAGGATATAGAAAATTCCATCATCACCTGGAGCTTTCATATTTTGAAATTTTTTAGTTATAGACCTTACTTCGTCCAAATCAGTCCCCCAGGAATCATCAAAAATATTTTCCCGAGAGAAAATATTCAGATAATCCCGAGCAACCTGATTCTCAATAGGACTAGTAAGACCCAAACTGAAATTATGGGAACTCTCGAATTGCTTAGCAAGTTTCTGAGCTTTTTCCAAATTTGTGATCAAAATTTTACCACCTTCTTTAAGCGCTGGAATAGGCTTTTGAGGTTTTTTCAAAATTTTTGTGAGTTTCCAAAAGGGTTTGGAACTCGGGTCTAATTTAGAAATATTATTTTCAAAAGTTTTGTTCCTCAGGGCAGAGAATCGCTTTTTAATTTGTTTTTGCAAATCCCGCCAGATAACTTTCATGGCAGGATCGCGTGTTCTTTGATATTGTCTCCTACGGACATTTTTAAGACGGATCAAGAGCTGAAGATCATCGTCTATTATAATTGAATCGAATTTAACCTCGCATTTTGGTACTGAGGCAGCTCTTGCTTCAACTATAAAAGTAGTCAGAGATTCAAGAGCATAATTAATTTCATCTTTGGTTTGCAAAGGAATGTTTGGATCGAAGTTATATTCCATAAATGTTCGATACTGCTCCCAATCAGCTCTATGGTAATTGAAAGTAGAGCTGTTGGGATTAGAAATTATTTCTTGGGATATTTCAAAAGTTACTGGAAGGTGATCAGAACCGAAGTCAGCATGGGTAACCAATTGGCTACAAAGTTGACATGAATCAGTTAAGACCAAATCAATAGTGGAGGGATTTCTTGCAGAAGAAAAGCATGTTGGGCTTTTTGGATATTGAATAGTGTAATAACCTGCAGAACAATCATCAAACAGAATATTACCATTGGAATTGCTTTGAGCATTATTCCATGAGCGGTGTTTTGCATTAAAATCACCAATAATGAAGAATTTAGACCTATGACGGGTAAGTTTCTGGAGGTCAACCCTTGAGAAAATTCTTTTGCTGGCCTACGCATTGGAATAGCAAATAGGCAGCTATAAACGTAAGTTGTCCAAATTTTGTTTCAACAGAAACTCCCAAAGTTTCAAAAACTTTGGTTTCAAATGAAGAAAGAATTTTATGTTTGATTCGTCTATGAATAATGATGGCAACGCCACCACAGGGTCCATCAAGACGATCATTTCTATAAATCAAGTAATTTGCGTCCTTCTTAACCTTATGGGCAGGTTTAAGGAACGTTT